TTTTCTCTTTTGTTTTCCAGTCTCACTAGAGGCACATCATTTTAAAACTCTTTTAAAAGAAGCTAGTTTTGTTTCACTGATGATCTGTATTATTTTCTTGTTTTCTGTTTAGTGGATTTACACTCCTACTTTCTTTTTCAGGAGTGAGGATTGCTATGTGCTTCCGCACAGATCAATCTTTTTATCCATAAGTAATATCTATCTTGGTCCCTGGTAAATTTTTTTGCTCTAGGGTTTATCTTATGTAAATATAATAATCCCTGCTTTTTAAAATTAAAATTTGTGAAGTACATCTATTTCCAGCCTTTTATTTTGATCCTATGTATGTCATTATATTTGAAGTGAGTTTCTTTTAAATATCTTTTTTCATCATTTGAAAAATTTATCCTGACAATCCCTGACTTTGTTGGTGTATTAAGCCAGTTTCATTTAATGTAAATAGTGACAATTAGGGCTGAAGTTTGCCATTTTATGGGCTTCCCTGGTGGCTCAGCTATAAAGAGGCAGAAGCCTGTAATGCAGGAGACACACCTAGATGCAGGTTTGATCCCCAAGTTGGAAAGATCTCTTGGAGGAGGGCATGGCAATCCACTCCAGTATTCTTGCTTGGAGAACCAACCTCAAGGACAGAGGACTCTGGCGGGTTACAGTCTGTGGGGTTGCAAAGAGTCAGACACATCTGAGGCGACTGAGCAGACAGACACTGACATTTTATTAAGGGAACTGTCATCTTCTCATTTCATATTTTTACCCACAAACTGTTAGTGGATTTTCCATCGCAGCTGATGATATTTTGATTAAAGAGTCTTGATAATTTCTAGTCTGTCAAAAAGTAATGGAAGATATAGTATCTCTGTGCAATGACTGTTCAGATCCCATTTAATCATCTAATAGAATACGTAGTTATTTTGTCAATATACTTATCTATCAGTAGTATTAAAAACATTAGCCTCTGCTTAATATATTTGATTTAAATTGTTCTTTGTTAATAATAATCCGTCCTCTTTTATAATCTAAAACCAGTTTTAAATCATGACTTTACATTCTTTCTCATTTAATTATAAAGATACCAAAAGAAAAGACTTGATTCTCTTGTGTTTTGTACTTGACAAAAGCTGATCACCAGAGGCCCAGGCTCTCCCTCTGATAGGAAATTGTATTTTCTATTTTGTCCCATTTATTCCCTGTTCCCAGTCTTTATTCTCCCTCTGGTAGGCACTCACTCTTTTATAATTAATGGATGTCTTGGTAGTCCAACTTCTGTGTGAAAAAATATGTGAGATTGTTCTTGTGCATTTTAATTTACATACTTAACTACTGTGTAGTATATAATTTTGTTTCTTATTTTTTATGTAATTGGTTGCTGCATATAAAGCATCTTTATTACTCCAGGTCATGGAGTGGTAGTCCAGGGCACACAAGGGCTCTATTTTGTTAATCAAATGTGTGGGCTTTAAAAATTGCTGTGAAAAGAAGAGAAGCAAAAGGCAAAGGAGAAAAGGAAAGATATACCCATTTGAATGCAGAGTTCCAAAGAATAGCAAGGAGAGATAAGAAAACCTTCCTCAGTGATCAATGCAAAGAAATAGAGGAAAACAATAGAATGGGAAAGACTAGAGATCTCTTTAAGAAAATTAGGGATACCAAGGGAAATTTTCATGCAAAGATGGACACAGTAAAGGACAGAAATTGTATGGACGTAACAGAAGCAGAAGATATTAAGAAGAGGTGGCAAGAATACAGAGAAGAACTATACAAAAAATATCTTCACGACTCAGATAGCCACGATAGTGTGATCACTCATCTAGAGCCAGACATCCTGGAGTCCAAAGTCAAGTGGGCCTTAGGAAGCATCACTACAAACAAAGCTAGTGGAGGTGATAGAATTCAAGTTGAGCTACTTCAAATCCTAAAAGATGATGCTGTGAAAGTGCTGCACTCAATATGCCAGCAATTTTGGAAAACTCAGCAGTGGCCACAGGACTGGGAAAGGTCAGTTTTCATTCCAATCCCAAAGAAAGGAAATGCCAAAGAATGCTCAAACTACTGCACAATTGCACTCATCTCACACGCTAGTAAAGTAATGCTCAAAATTTTCCAAGCCAGGTTTCAATAGGATGTGAACTGTGAAATTTAAGGCCCAGAAAAAATATCAGTGAAAAAGTTCAGTTCAGTTCAGTCACTCAGTCATGGCCAACTCTTTGCGACCCCATGGACCACAGCACGCCAGGCCTCCCTGTCCATCACCGACTCCCGGAGCTGACTCACACTCATGGGCATTGTGTTGGTGAAGCCATCCCACTATCTCATCCTCTGTCCTCCCCTTCTCCTCCTGCCTTCAATTGTCCCCAGCATCAGGATATTTTCCAATGAGTTGATTTTTTGCATCAGGTGGCCAAAGTACTGGAGTTTCAGGTACAGCATCAGTCCTTCCAATGAATATTCAGGACTGATCTCCTTTAGGATGGACTGGTTGGGTCTCTTTGCAGTCCAGGGGACTCTCAATCGTCTCCAACACCACAGTTCAAAAACATCAATTCTTTGGCACTCAGCTTTCTTTATAGTCCAACTCTCACATCCATACATGACTACTGGAAAAATCATAGCTTTCGCCAGATGGACCTTTGTTGGTAAACTAGTGTCTCTATTTTTTAACATGCTGTCTAGGTTTACCATGGCTTTCCTTCCAATGAGCAAGCATCTTTTAATTTCATGGCTACAGTCACCATCTGCAGTGATTTTGGAGCCCCTAAAATAAAGTCTGTCACTGTTTCCACTGTTTCCCCATCTATTTGTTATGAAGTGATGGGACCAGATACCATGATCTTAGCTTTATGAATGTTGAGTTTTGAGCCAACTTTTTCACTCTCCTCTTTCACTTTCATCAAGAATCTCTTTGGTTACTTTTCACTTTCTGCCATAATGGTAGTGTCACCTGCATATCTGAGGTTATTGATATTTCTCCTGGTAATCTTGATTCCAGCTTGTGGTTCATCCAACCTGGCATTTCTCATGATGTACTCTGCATATAAGTTAAATAAGCAGGGTGACAATACACATCCTTGACTTACTCCTTTTCTTATTTGGAACAGTCTGTTGTTCCCATGTCCAGTTCTAACTGTTGCTTCCTGACCTGCACACAGGTTTCTCAGGAGGCAAGTCAGGTGAGCTGGTATTCCCATCTCTTTCAGAATTTTCCACAGATTTTTGTGACCCACAGAGTGAAAGGCTTTGACACAGTCAATAAAGCAAAAGTAGATGTTTTTCTGGAATTCTCTTGCTTTTTTGAGGATTCAGCGGATGTTAGCAATTTGATCTCTTGTTCCTCTGCCTTTTCTAAAACCAGGTTTAACATGTGGAAGTTCATGGTTCACCTACTGTTGGAGCCTGGCTTGGATAATTTTGAGCATTACTTTGCTAGTGTGTGAGATGAGTGCAATTGTGCAGTAGTTTGAGCTTTCTTTGGCATTTCCTTTCTTTGGGATTGGAATGAAAACTGACCTTTCCCAGTCCTGTGGCCACTGCTGAGTTTTCCAAATTTGCTGGCATATTGAGTGCAGCACTTTCACAGCATCATCTTTTAGGATTTGAAAGATCTCAACTGGAATTCCATCACCTCCACTAGCTTCGTTTGTAGTGATGCTTCCTAAGGCCCACTTGACTTTGGACTCCAGGATGTCTGGCTCTAGGTGAGTGATCACACCATTGTGGTTATCTGAGTCATGAAGATCTTTTTTGTATAGTTCTTCTCTGTACTCTTGCCACTTCTTCTTAATATCTTCTGCTTCTTTTAGTTCCATACTGTTTCTGCCCTTTACTGTGCCCATCTTTGCATGAAAAGTTCCCTTGGTATCTCTAATTTTCTTGAAGAGATCTCTAGTCTTTCCCATTCTATTGTTTTCCTCTATTTCTTTGCATTGATCACTGAGGAAGGCTTTCTTATCTCTCCTTGCTATTCTTTGGAACTCTGCATTCAAATGGGTATATATTTCCTTTTCTCCTTTGCCTAAGAATGGACAGAAAATATATCTGAAGCAATATTGGCAGAAAATAACCCAAATTATCTGAAATAGCAATCTGCAGATCTGGAAAGCACAGCAAACCCTGAACAGGAGAATCACAAGGAAAGCCACCCCAGGCCCCTGGAGCAAGTTGCTGAAACCCGAAGATAAAAAAGCAGCCAGATGCAGAAAGAGATTTATTCTATGTTGGGAGCAATGATAAAACTCACAGAGGATACTTTGTCACAAAAATAGTGATTGGCGGCAGAAGAAAATGTCACTGAATAAAAGTCTGTCAAATTAGGAATGCATCTAGCCAAACTATCTTTCAAGCATTAAGGATAAATAAAGACATTTTAAGATGAATTAAAGCTGAATAAGTGTGTTTCCAGTTGATCTGCACCCTGAGAAATGATGAAGGAAGTTCTTCAGGCTGAAGGGAGATTTTATCAGAAAGAAACGTGGTGTCCAGAAGTAATAACGAACACTGGAAATAGAACATATGAAGATGAATAAGCACAGTATTTCCCTTTCTTCTGTTACATTCTTCAAAAGCTGACTATTTAAAACAGCAACAAAACACAACATATGGTGAGATTGCCACACGAAACTTAAGTGGAAGGGAATAGCAGACAAGAGAGACTGGGTTTAATGTCATCAAAGTCTTTATATGACAGATAGATGAGACAATGTCAGAGTAAACCATAAAAAGGTAAAGATAAAAATGGTGATTTTGAGGGAAACCACTGAAAGATAAATAATAGAGACAAAGTCAATAGAGGAACAGACTGGATAATAAAAATTCACCCGTTCGAGCCAAAATATAACAGCAAAAGAAGAAAACGGGAACCGAAAAGGACCAATCGAGAAAGACTCGTAAGATAGTAAACTGAAACCCAACCCACAGGGCTCCTGGAAAGAGCCCAAACGCCCAGGCTGCGAGCCAGCTGGGCCCAAAGCCAGGCTGCGTGCATCACCAGGTGGCGGGTCACTTCTCACCGTTCGGGGACTTCGACGTGTTTCCAGCTCCTCTGGGAGCGGTAACGCTGCCGTGAGAGCTCCGTGTTTCTTCTGCGGTCCTGCTGCTTCCCTGAGGCACATTTCTGGGCACACCTCCGTATCCACACGTACAGACATGTGACGCCGAAACGTTTCCTTCACCTTGTGCATAAACAGTCAGCTCCCAGTTGGTTCACGTCTGTGGCTCAACCCTAGAAACAGTCTTTGAAGAAATTGATAATGTATTTTCAAGCTTGAAATATATTGTTGACTTTTCCCCTCTTACAGTTTATGTGTTGAAGACACCGAGATATTGGTCTTCCAGAAGTCCCACCAGCTGGTGTGATGACTGCATTCTGATGTGTAACTTTTTAAGTATTTCCATTAGTTCCCAGTATGTTCTATAAATTGATACTTAGATCAAGATGCTCCACCAACTTCACGGTGTTGGTCGACGTTTTTGGTGAGACTGTTCACCTGGGGACACTGTGCTCCGTGACCACGAATCATCTAGTGTCTGGGCACCTCTTTCTTCCTCTCTCCCTCGGTAACTGGCATTAACACTCACCACCCAGGCTCATTGTCGTATTAAGGGTAGCAAAGTCATGATATTTTCACATTACCATTCTTTTCTTATTAGCTGAAATATTTCTACACAGAGAAACCTCCCTTTATCAACTATTTGGTTACTCTGAGGTGCGTTTTTTATATGAAAGGCAGGATAAATGCTTTATTCTTTTTCTTTCTATTTTCAAAATTACAAGTTGTAGGTCTAGTATTTCCCAAAAAGTGATCAGAGATTCCTTTGATTTTACCTGTTGAGAATCATCAATAATTCATGGAATTTTATATAATAATAGATGCTTCCATCCCTAACAGTTATCATTTCTGATGCTAAAACTGTCCTGTTCTTTCCCAGGAGAAGCCTGGTATGTTGTATCCTGAGCGTTTTCAAGAAAGTTTCAATAAGTCAGTGCATTATACAGAACGGTGCACATCCCCAGGCTCGGAGAACGTTTGCAAACTGCACAGGTGTTTGGACTAGCCTGGAAGAGCGGCTCTAGCATCCCAGAATCCCCTCCCCGACCCCTAGAATTCCAGCCAGCTGAATAATGTATAAGAATTAGTAAACAGCACAATAAGGTGCTTTCCTTTCTCCACGCTTCTCTTCACAGCTCAGCTCTTTGGACACATGACTAACATCAGCAGTGACTTTAAATGGGTATACACCAGGGCTTAGATGTCAATTTTAAAAGCGAAAAAGATGCATTTTCATTAAGCATCAGAGAACCCCAGTGCTCTGGGGCTGTACACCTGCCCCACGGAGCAGGCAGCGGAGCCTGGCGTCCTTCCTGGGTGAACGTTTCTGGTGTAACTCAGGCCTGTAGACACTCTCGGCAAATCCTACCTGTTTCAAAGGAGCCAAGGGACCTGAAAGGCACATGCTCCATGTCCAAGCAACGTTACAAGTCCTGTTTTCATCACATTCCATTTTCTTCGAGTGTTTTCTATGTTTTGTTAGACTTCGAAGCATTTTCTTCAAAGAAAAGTCACTTCTCCTAGTGCTTTCCTCATATTCAACTGTGTTGGAAAGATTATCCCGTTTTCAACTGCTTTGTAGTAGACACCAGAAGACAATATTATCTTCAAGCCCATCCTCATTTTCAAAATTAACAAAAGTTAATGGCGAAAGAGATCAGTTGACCCGCTGCCCCCAGAAGCTGCTTCTCACATTTCATAATAAGGAAAAGAAGAATGTGAGGAGGAGAAGGTGAGGAGCTCAGCGCGGACGCTGGAGGAGCGGGCTCTTAGGCCCGGTGGGTAGCGTGAGCGGAGCGCGCTCACTGCACTCCGCTGCGGGCGCTGCACCGCGGGCCGTGCCCGGAGACCCCGCCGCCGGCGGGCAGGTGAGGGGCCCAGGCCGCTCCGCCGGACACGTGCGGCTCCGCAGACCGGAGCCTTCAGTCACAGGTCCGTTAACCGGTTCTGAGGGAGACGAGTGTGGCTGTTCCACCGGGACGAGGCCTCCTCGTCAGGCGAGTCCAGAACCGAGACCGCGCTGCGTGCGGAGCGGGGCCGGGGCTGCTGAGCTCAGCACTGGGGCGCAGACCCCCGTGCGGACCCCTTCGGAAGCTCCAGGACCTCAGCGAGCCGGTGCTGCCGGAGAAGCGAGTCCCCCTCCCCTTTCTCCAACACGGTGCCGTTTCCAGACCAAACCTGCCCTCCCGTCAGACGGCAGAACGCAGGAGGACCACTGCCATCTCCCCGCAGACAGGAAGGCGCGAGGTTCTGCTTGGAATTCAGCTCACACGGTCCCCAGCGGAGCTTCACGGGAGACGGCTGAAAGCTCGTGCTGCTTTTCGGGGACCCCTTCTGGAGACAGCTGGAAGCTCTGGAACCTTCCCTGCGGCTCAGGACCGCCCCGCCGCGCAGCCTGTCAGCTGCTGCACGGGCACCCCATCCTTGCCGCGGGACCTGCCCTGCACCCCGTCTCTCTCTGGCCTCCACTCTAATCACTCTGAAAATGTCCCCGCCTTTCTAACGACTGAAATCCCACATCTGGGGCCCCGTGTTCTCCCGGGGAGCCAGCACTTCTGTCTGCCTTCGTGGGAAACGCTGGCTGTGCTCCCTCACGATGACAAAGGGCGGGAGCGTGCCCACCCAGCAGCTCCCGGAAGCCTGCTGCCGGGTCCGCGGCGAGGCCCGTCCCGTCTGTGTCCAGCCCTCCTCTCCTTCCTCGCTTGTCTGCCTCATGCTTTTCAAGCTTCAGATGGCGGTTTGGTTCCGAGAACACTCTTCTCCAGGGAAACCCGCAGCTGTCCGCCAGCGATGGGGCTTTGCTCCAGGAGGAGGTGGGGGGAACCCCGGAAAAGCAGGACGAGCATCCACGTTCATGTGGCCCCGGCGAGCCTCCGGGAGCCCTCCACTCCCAGCCCCGCCCCGGGAGCTGCGGGAACCTTGTGGGCGCGTCCTTAGGCCGGTCCAGCAGGACTGGGAGGGCCTCCGGTCTCCAGTCAGCTCCTGCCAGAGCCCTGCCCGATGCTGATGGCACACGGTGGCCCCTTTTCACGCCTGGGGGTGGGGCTGAAAGGTTGAGGGCAGGAGGAGAAGGGGACGACAGAGGATGAGAGGGCTGGGTGGCATCACTGACTCAATGGACATGAGTTTGGGTGGACTCCGGGGATTGGTGATGGACAGGGAGGCCTGGCGTGCTGCGGTCCATGGGGTCGCAAAGAGTCGGACACGACTGAGTGAACTGAACTGAACTGAGAGAGGATTCCTGCCTGAAACAGCTTTGAGCTGCTTCTAAACAGCACAGACCTGGAGCAAGTATCTGGGGTGATGACTTCCAGATCCCCTTCCCAGATCAGGGCTATTTATAAAAGGCGTTAAACACGCCCGCGAGGCGGTGCGTCAGCGCCCCTGCACACCCGCTCGCGTCCCAGCGGCTCGGCTCGGTCTGCAGCCGGCTGCAGCCCCTCTGCGCAGGCGCGCTGCCGGCAGAGGCTGGAGGGGTTGTACCACGTGTGGGCTGGACTGTACCCTTCTGTGCAAGACAGCCGCTTCAGCACGGCGAGCCAGGTGCTGGGACTAAACTAATATTTTTATCAAATGGGCCCATTTGAATAATAATCTGGCTTTGGGGTTAAATGAAGGCAGAGAAAGTTTCAAGTATGACTAAAACGATAATGAAAATGTTATAAAAATTCCTTGTTCCAGGAGCAGAGAGGAAAAAGAGATGCAGAAGCCAGAATAGGACTCTGATTAAGGCTAAGCACCGAAGAATTGATGCTTTTGAACTGTGGCAGTACTGGAGTGGGTTGCCATTTCCTTCTCCAGGGGATCTTCCCGTCCCAGGGATCAAACCCCGGTCTCCTGCATTGTAGGCAGACGCTTTACCATCTGAGCCACCAGGGGTAACTCATTACTTTATCTTTATTGGAGAAGACTCTTGAAAGTCCCTTGGACTGCAAGGAGATCCAACCAGTCCATCCTAAAGGAAATCAGTCCTGAATATTCATTGGAAGGACTGATGCTGAAGCAGAAACTCCAAAACTTTGGCCACCTGGTGCGAAGAACTGACTCATAACCCTGATGCTGGGAAAGACTGAAAGCGGGAGGAGAAGGGGACGACAGAGGATGAGATGGTTGGATGGCATCACCAACTCGATGGACATGAGTTTGAGCAAACCCTGGGAGTTGCTGATGGACAGGGAGGCCTGGCCTGCTGCACATGGGGTCACAGACACGACTGAGAGACAACTGAACTGAACTGAACATAAACCTGCAGGAGCAAGAGGCAAGTGGGCAAGTGTCCACCTAGTGGTCACACCCGGTTAATACATGCTCTCCTCTCCAGGCTTCCAGAAAGATCATGGTGGGGACACTCCGAGGTCCTGGCATCACTGTGAGTAATGAACAAGGCTGGTTCACTCCTGTTATCACTCATTATTAAGACAGGAATAGTTTACAGTGAGTAAAGCTGGCTAAGGTGAAAAGAAAACACAGATGATCAAAGGGAAATCCTTTATTCCTTTGTGTTATATGCTCTTTATATAATTTTGTTGTTGCCTTTGAAATTACTAACGCCATACTGAAGAACCTTCTGCTGAGTGCATCACACGGGTAATCGCCATGTGACATGTGGCAACCGGCTTACCAGTGAGCCAGTCAACAGGAGCAGGCGCCTCAAGCCCAGGTCCTGGGCTCCAGGGCCTCTCCGCCCTCACACCCTCTGCCTCGAGGCATAGCTGGCCGTCCCGCCAAGATCTCAGGGCTCCTGAGGGGTCACCAGGGGGGAGCCTGGCTGGGCCGGGGGCTTCCTGGCGTATCAGGCAGCTCCTCTGTGCGAGCCCTTCTTACACGTGTCGCTGGAAACCATTGGCCCCTTTCCAAGGCAAAGGCAGCTGAGGCTTGAACTCATGGAACTCACCCGGGATCAGATGAAAGGTGACAGAGCTGGGCCTGAGCACACACAGGGCCCTGACCATGTCCAGTTCTGGCATTTGATGCTTTAGGGCCGCGGTTCTCAACCTCTTTGGCACGAGGGACTGGTTTTGTGGAAGACAACTTTTCCATGGATCTCATAAGGACCTCGCAACCTGGACCCCTCGCATGCACAGTCTATGTAGGGTCTGTGCTCCTATGAAAATCTAATGCCACCAATGGTCTGACAGGAGGCGGGGCTCAGGTGGTAATGCAAGCAATGGAGAGTGGCTATAAATACAGATGAAGCTTGCTAACTTAGCCACTGCTCATTTCTTGCTGTGGGATCCAGTTCCTAACAGGCTATGGACAGGTGTTGGTCGATGCAGCCTGGGGATTGGGGGCCATTGCTCTAAGAGATGAAGCAAGTTGAATTTACCTGTTTTGCTTAATGTGACTGCAAACCTAGAAGCAGGCGGGGCTCTCAGGGCAGGACAGGCACTAGTGAGATGGGAGCACGGGACACAGGGAAGGGAGGAGAGAGAGTGAGGCCATGTGAGAGGAAGCTTCGGGAGCCAGAGGAGGAATGTTGCTCTTGGTCGAGAAAGCAACCAAGAGCAGCAGTCGGACGGTGGAGGTGGGGAGATGGTTAGAAAGTCCTTGTGGAGCTGGAGTGACTTTTCACATCACCTGCTGTTCTAATTCTTAAACATTTGTCCCTGATGCTCATTAGCTAGTAAAGTATACAAAATACTATTGGGAAGCCAGTCTCTTATTGTTTCACAAAGATGAAACTGGGACATACACTAAGCAAAGTCTACAAAGAAACAAATCAGATGAAAGTCAAGAAACTGAACGTGGTCCACAGTTAGGGACCAACTTACCAATTGGGTAAGTTGATATTCAAAAGTGATGGTTATTCCACAATAGCTATTTAGCTAAGTCATGTTATGTGCACAGAAACTAGCATTAACAAGTTACATTTTAGCAAGCATTTTCTTGTCTCAAAATTAAAAAAGATGTGTGTGTATGTCTTCTTCAAATGACAGCACAAGACTCCTTCTTTGCATGGCAACATGAAATGTAGAATCATAAAAACTAAATTATATTTGGAGTTTCTTGAACAAAACATCTGAAAAATTACCAGGAATTGGGCAGTTGGGTACATAATGGCATCAGGTTAAACGGCCTGATGCAGCCGTCAGCACGGTGTGGCTCACGAGCTGGACTGGCTACTCTGGGCACCTGTGCTGCGTGTGTGTGTGTGTGCATGTGTATACACATGTAACACGGGAACTCCAGTGGGAGATCACTGTGACAAGGATGCTCATCCTCAGAGAACCCTGTCATTTGTCCAGGATAATATGCGTTCGTAAGTTGCAGTAATGAGATTCAAACCCAGGTCAGGAGACCAAATCCTGTGTTAAGACCCTAAACCAAAAGCCGAGCCTGTGGTGTCTCCTCTGCTCTTTCCCAGTAACCCGAGAGCCCGTGACCCGAGGACAGAGAGCTTTAACAGAGGCCAGCGGACAGGGGCTGCTGCAGGGGACCTCTATGTGTGTATTCATTAACTATATGTATTTAAATGCATGTACACAAACACCCTTAACTGTGATTGATTTATTGCTTCATTATCAGGTATGTAATAGATTTAGTTTATGTTTTCATCATAATTTCATAAAGTTTATTTTATATTGTTTTTGTGGTTAGGAAAGACAATGTCACACTAGCCTTTTTAAGTGCTTTGGGCAACACCGAAGACAATTACTTCTGTAACCAGCCCAGGGTCCTCAAGGTGCTCAGGCAGGAGGGCCCAGGGGGTTTCTGGGTGCTCACGTCACACTGGCTGCCCCACAGCAGGCGGCCTGACTTGGAGCCTGAAGCTAAAGAGCTCAATCTTTAGCTTTTCAGCAGACAACCTCCTTCACAAGCATTTGAAGGTTTGGTTCATATTGAATTTCAGGTGCTTCTCAAAACTAAGTGTTTGAAAACTAAATCTGTTTTCCTGTGATAAGATTTGGCTGGTGATTCGTAAATAGCATTCCAGGGACTGAATCCCTGACACATCAAACATGGTGTTTGCCTCATTATCTAGAATGCCCTTAAGGAAGTCTAGTATCAGTTTATAAATTTCTTCCTAGTGAAAGACTCGCACACATTCAAAGGCCCTTCACAGTGAAGAGAGCTGTCAGGTGTGATTGAGTTCAGAAGGTACTTGTCACTTCAGCTCAAGTGTCTTCTAAGTCAGTATGGAAAAGTGAAAATCTGGTGGCTTGAAGGAGTTAATCTATAACAGTAATGGAAAAGAAAATTGTAAAGAATTCTTATTTTCTGCATGGGGTGAAAAAAACTGACTAATTGCCAAAGGTGAAGACAGAAAAGGAGACGAGGACCCGTGCAGGCCCCAGGAACCAGTGGGCAGGTCCACTAGCGCTGGGTGCTGCCTCCCGACCAGGAGGCCAGGGGCTGGGGCAAAGAGGGGGCCAGGGCCACCTGTGTGGGGACCAGCTGCCCAGAGCTCGCTCCTGGACGATGAGCAGAGGCCACAGTGACAGGAGGGGCAGCTCCTCAGATCCCGAGACCTCACGTCCAGCTCCTCAGTGGGGGCGCGACATCTACTGCTTCCATGCTGGTGGGGACCTGTGCCTGCGCTGCACTGCCGGCCTCCCTGGTGCTGAGATGACCTGGGCCACGTCACTGCAAGGCCCACAGCATGGGCAGACACACATGGGCTTCCCTGGTGGCTCAGCTGGTAAAGAATCTGCCTGCAACGTGGGAGACCTGGATTCTATCCCTGGGTTGGGAAGATCCCCTGGAGAAGGGAAAGGCTACCCCACTCCAGTATTCTGCCCTAGAGAATTCCATGGACCCTACAGTCCATGGGGTCACAAAGAGTTGGACACGACTGAGCAACTTTCACACGACTTTCATCCTCACAGAATCAGCGCAGTTCAGTTGCTCAGTTGTGTCCAACTCTTTGCGACCTCATGAATCGCAGCATGCCAGGCCTCCCTGTCCATCACCAACTCCCAGAGCTTGCTCAAACTCATGTCCATTGAGTCAGTGATGCCATCCAACCATCTCATCCTCTGTCGTCCCCTTCTCCTCCTGCTCTCAATC